CAAATAAAATCTTTTTAGTAGTAGTGAGTTATGCCAGAACTGGTTTTTTATTTTTTTATTTTTTTAATGTGTACAATTTACTTAGGACAACTACTGGTCAGTATTCTGAGTTTGTTTTTATTGTATTTTAAGTATTCAATCATGCAAAAGAATGTTGACTTATGAATTGATTTCTGCTCAAATGAGGGTTTCTAGGGGTTAGTTGAAAATGTTTGTCAAAAATTTTGAAGATATAGTTATGTCTGCATTCTATAGGTGAGCAAAGGCTAACAGGGAAATGAATATTTAAAAGAGAACTTATTTTCAGCTGCTTAAAATTTTTGACATGGAAGACTGAAAGCTTTCCTCCAAAGATCGGGAACAAGACAAGGACACCCACTTTTACCACTGGTATTCAACCATGTACTGCAAATTCTAGCCAGAGCAATTAGACAAGAAAAGGAAATAAAAGGCATTTAAATTAGAAAGGAAGAAATAAAATGCTTTCTATTTGCAGATGACCTGATCCTATATACAGAAAATCCCAAAGAATGCACATGAAGCTACTAGAGCTAATAAACAAATTCAGCAAAGTGTCAGGGTACAAGATCAGCACACAAAAATCAGTGTTTCCGAACACCCAGAATGAATAATTTGAAAAGGAAATTAAGAAAACAATTCCATTTATGTAGCATCAAATAGGATAAAATACCTAGGAATAAATTTAACCAAAGAGGTGAAAAACTTGTACACTAGAAACTACAAAGCATTGCTAAAAGAAATTTAAGAAGACCAAAGTAAATGGAAAGACAGCTTGTGTTGATGGGCAAAAAAGTTCAATATTGTTAAGATGTTAATACTACCTCCCAAAGCAACCTGCAGATTCAGTGCAATCCCTGTCATTTTTTTGCAGAACGATTAAACAGCATTTTTTTTTTCAGAAATAGAAAAGCATACTCCCAAATTCATATGGAACTGCAAGAGACCCCAGATAATTAAAACAGTCTTGAAAAAGAACAAAGTTGGACTCACATGTCCTGATGTCAAAACTTACTACAAAGCTACAGTAATCAAAACAGTATGAAACTGGCATAAGAATAGACATATAGACCAATGGAATAGAACTGAGTCCAAAAATATACCCATATATCTATGGCCAATTAATTTTTGACAAGCATGCCAAGTCCATTTAATGGGCAAAGACCAGTCTCTCTGCTATGGTTTGAATGTCCCTGCCAAAATTCACATTGAACCTTAACCAACAGAGCACATTCCCAGTGCAGCAATGTTGGGAGGTGGAACTTTTGTGAGGTGGGACCTACTGGGAGATATTTGGGTCTTGAGGACTCCACCCTTGTGGCAGCTTGGTGCCATTCTTGTGGTAGTGAGTTCTCGGTCTCAGAAGACTGGATTAATTCCTACAGGGAGTGGGTTAGTTCCTGCAAGAACGGGTTGCTATAAAGAGAGGATGCCCCTTGTGTTTTGCCTTTCACACATACCCACTTTCCCTTTGGCCTTCCGCCATGTTATTTATGATAGAGCACATGGCCCTCACCAGAAGCCAAGTAGGTGCCAGTGCCATACTCGAGACTTTCCAGCCATCAGAGCCATGAGATAAAACTTTTTTTCTTTATAAATTAGTTCAAGGAGGACCAAGATTACAGATTTCTCAAGTTGTACTACAATAGTCTTTGGCAGTAATATAGGATTTGATCAGTTCTTGTAAGGATACCATAAAACTGGCAGGAGTTACTGGATATCTGGATGCAGTACTCCTGTCAACACCTGGATGATTCAGGGAGTCATTGTAAGATGAAGGATTTGATCCTATTTAGTCTAGCCAGAGGCAAATCTGTTTAAGAAAGGAGTAATATTCTGTAAGATATGAAAGGCACCCACTTGAAAGAGAGAGCAACAATTACTTTGAAATTTTGTACCATAATGTTCTTAAGAAGTATATTTTATAGGCAGCTTAAAAGAAATGAAAGACTGTTGGTTTAAAGAGATAAATAAATGAGTGAAGGAACATCAAGATAACATTTGAAAAAAAAAAAAAAAAGATGATGTTAAAGACCAAGGGATTGTAAGCAACAATAATGCTATTTTAGGGCAGCAAAGTAGAATTTGAACCATGCATTGAAAATACAGAAAAAGTTTCTTAGCGATAAAAACCTAGTTTCCAGCACAAGTGGAATTGAACATGTATATGAGCATTCCCTAGGATGAAGGAAGTGGCAGCAGCCATATTTCCCCTAAAATCTGCTCAGCAAACAGTTTATCTCTAAACATGATGCAGGCTTCTCCAGTGAATCAGAAGGTATGGAAAAGGAGAACACACTTCCTGAATTTCCCAGGATTTAACAGTTGAATGACAATTATAAAACCATTCATGGGAATTTGGTTGCCATCAAGATGGAAGTAGGAGTTGATTTCATCTAGGAAGAAGAAAAAGGAGGAGAAGAGAAAAGGAAATTAAAAATGAGGGTTGGCCAGTTAGGTCAGCTGGTTAAAGCATGGTGTTATAACATAAATAAATAATTTTTAAAAATAAAAATGAGCACAATAGAGTGTCTACTAGTTTACTTGATCCTGCTGTGGAGACCAACTATCCCCAAAACAGCTTAAGGATGGCAAAGATGTCTTAAAAACAACTTCCCAGATAACTGATACTTGGTCCATACAACTCTGTCGATTAGTTAAGTCTCTCAATGACTTTCTTATTTTGGGAGAGTTGCTGGTAGGTCCTTTGGGGATGCTACATTGAACAGTTCCTGGGGGAACCATTCACCTCTTCCTCTATGTGGACAGAACCTCTTGGAGTCAATCAAGATGGCAGTCTTGTAGTACCCAATCCTTCCCACACAATTCCCTGAAGGTTAACAGGGATTACCATCAAATCTTTAAGATATGGTAAGACAGTGTGGAAAGGCTCTGCCACTCCAGTCCTCCCAGGAAAGGAATGTGAAATGCAGGGTAAAGAGCCCGTAGGATTCCTTCTCGTAGCAAAATAGCTTACTTGCCTCTGCTTTGCACACACCTAGGGCACTTTAGCAGGCTTCGGCATGATGTAAGAAAAAGTGGAGGTCCCCAGCCTATGTGGGAGTGAATTAAGTCCTCTTCTTCCTTCAGGCTTTTGGAGCCCAATGAGAGGGACAGGAATTCCTTTATGATACCATGTTTCAAACCAAAGTTCCACTGTTAAATAATTGGGACCTCAGACAGATGACTTTTAATTGAAAGTACATAATAATGAAGGAAAATGTTTAAAGGGAAAAAAGTCACCCATAATTCCACTGTCCTCATGATTTTTAGCTTTTGCATAATGGCAAGTCAACATTCCTTGTCTGCATACTTAAATATATTTTTTACTTGAAATATACCACACATACCTATTGCGCATGAAAATTTTAACATTATGTCATATTTGTCTTATTTTTAATAGCACAAAAATCTTAATGGATAACACTAATGTGATCTTGAAAAGCATTTAAATAGAATTTCTGGTTTCTCTCATAAAATCTATAGTATATATTTGTGCTGTCTGAAACAGTAGTCACTAGCCACACATGGCTAATGAGCACTTGAAATGTGGCTAGTCAGAAATTGGATGTGCTGTGAGTATAAAGTACGCACTCGATTTGAAAAAAAGTATATTATATCTCAATTTTTATATAGATAACATGTTGAAGTGAGAACACTTGATAGATTGGGTTAAAGAATTAAAATTAAATTCACCTGTTTCTTTGTATTGCTTTTAATGTGGCTACTGGAAAATTTTATTTTATTTATTTTATTTTATTTTTCCTTTTTGTCTTTTTTCGTGTCCGGCAATGGATCGCAACCCTCAGTGTCGCGCCCGTACCAGACCGGGACCGGCAATGGGATCGCAACCCTCGGTGCTGCGCCCGCACCTCGCTTAGCCAGTGAGCAGGAACCGGTCTGTATGTGGGATCCGAACCCTCGGCAGGAGCACCGCCGCACTCCCAAGCGGCGTACTGTAGCAGTGCGCCACCGGGACGGCCCCCAAAATTTTAAATTACATATGTGGCTTGCACTATATTTCTTTTAGACTGTGGTGATATAGGTTATCATACACAGCTTAAAATTGGGATCTTAAAATTGGAAGAGAAACTAATATTGCAACAATAAGGGAATAGTTAAATAATCTTTGGTATGTTTTCTAGATAGAATATTATGCAGCCTTTGAAATTACAGATATATGGACTATGTGGCCAAAAACTTACATGTGATGTTATATTAAGTAAAGAAAGTATGACATGAAGTTACAAAAAATGTTTTAAAAAAACACAAAAACCTAGGAGAATTTTTCCAAAAACTAACTGGAGGTATATTTGGAAGATAGGATTACAAGCGAAGTTTTTTTTTTCCTTTTCTTTAATTTCAAATTTAAAAGATTGCCTTTGTATATTTTTCACTCTGAAAAAAATTAAAGCCATAGACTTACCGTGTGGCGGCGCTCCCGCCGAGGGTTTGGATCCCACATACAGACCGGCTGCTCGCTGGCTGAGCAAGGTGCGGGCGCGGCACCGAGGGTTGCGATCCCGTTGCCGGTCCCAGTCCGGTACCGGAGTGACACTGAGGGTTGCGATCCGTTGCCGGACACGAAAAAAGACAAAAAGGAAAAAAAAAAAAAAAGTTACTGGGTAACACTGATTCAGACTCAGAGCAAGGTAAATAAGGCAACAGTGGTGTATTAGTGTTCTCAAGGTGGTATTGTAAAGAAAGGAACAAGCCAACTGTGTTTTCTTTCCCACTGCTCAGTAGGAATGCTCAGTGAAATTTTGAAAGAGATGAGAATTGATAATATACATTGTGTTTGTAAAGGAATGAAAGATTGAAGAAGGAGCATTTACATCTTATACCACTTTGGAAAACGTAAAGAAAGAATTAGAAAACTGATTCTAAGTTCCTTAAAAAGAATTAACGCTCTGAAAATGACTCTGAAAAGCAGTGTTTAAATGCTTACTCTTGTTAAGTATTATTTTTTTCTTCATTCCTAGATTCATGATGTTGCTATCTAAAGTTGAGAAATCATCAGAAGAAATTATGGAGATAATGCAAAATTTAAGAAGTATACAGGTTTGCTTTTTTTTTTTTTTTGGATATAATTTTTCATACTTCTAGTACCCCATTTGAAAAGGAAAGAAGCCCAGATTGAAGAATACAATCCAGGAAAAAGCTTGTAGGGAATATGTTTCATTTACTTTTCATGGGAATTTCTTTTCTTATATGAACATTATTAACCATAATATTTTAGTAATGTCTGGCTTTTTCACATTTAAAAGTAAATTTGTAGATTATGTTTAGTATTTTTAGTTAATAATAAATTGTTTATATTCTGGCATTTTAGGGCTTGCAAAAATAGTTGACCTACGAGAAAAAGTTAAATTTTCTAACATAGAGTTTAAGTTTTCCAAATGAAGGAAACAATGTACTAGACTTGTCAGTAATCCTAAGAACTTACTTAACTCATTTTAAGATGGCTTTCTTTTAGGCTTTGGAGGGCAGGAGAGAGCTTGAAAATCTCATTGGTATCTCCCTTGCATCACGTTTCTTAAAAAGAGAAATGCAGAAAACCAAAGAACTAAGTAAGAATTTGTGAATTTTCAATGTTAGTAATTTTAAAGATAAGCCTATTAATTTTTTTCAAATTTAAATTCAATGGACTTCTTTATAGATACTACTACTGGATGTGTGACAGAAATACTGTTGCATTCTTTAAAGAAGAAGCCATGTAAATATGTTATTTGGGGGGATTCCACTTGATGTGAAGGAAAAGGATGTACCTTGGAAACTGGTAGTAGGCTTTTTTATGTAATGCTTATTCTTAAAATAAGATATAATGTCTTGCATTTTATACTTGATACCTATAAGTATGTATTACTTTGAATTATTTTTTCTTATGAAGTTGTTTCTTCCAACTAATGAGAAATTATTCATATTCCAGGTGAATTCTTAACATGGAATTTCTTTTTCTTTTAGTAACTAAAGTAACAAAACAAAAATTATTTGAAAAGAAGAGTTCAGAACTTCCTCACAAAGGTAAAGAGTTGTGTTTTAGTTTATTACGTAAAGAGATGCTTTCATCTCATTTTACCAATTAAAACCGATCATCATTAGTCCTTATAAGTATACTCTTTTAAAAGACCATGAATCTCATTTGAAAAACCTCAGATTGCATTTAGCAGACCGGATCTCATGAGATCAGCTTTCCTGATGATTGAACTTTTTGAATGTTTTTTGAAATACAGTTTTCAGTTTAAAATTTAAGTTGTCTTTTTATTAAAAATTTTTTGGGGGCAATACAGACAAATAGGGACAACAATGCATTAATATATCAGTTATTAATTAGTTATAATATCATAACTGTATAATGGTGCATTAGAAGGGTACGCTAAGCTTTAGAAATTACTTTGTAACCAGTGTTCTGGAAACTTTCAAATCATTAATGACCTTTGATCTACTATGAACTCTTTTGCCTCTGAGAATTTCACAGTATGGGAAACTTAATTAGCAGTTTTTAAGTTGCCATAGGAAATACACAGCCACACCTCAATAAACAAAATAATCATGGACTGTAAAATATTAAAACCTTTAGACCAACTTAAGAGTGATCATTTTAATATTTCTGACTTGTATGCCATTTAGCAATCTCTGCAAGTGGGGTTAGACCTTGAAATGGGTAACCATATTTTAGTCTACCATTTTTAAGTATCAATAATTACCATTTTCCCAATGCTAGAAACTCAGGTCTTCACAGCAGTGCTGCAAGATAGCTATTTTCTTTTTTTTTTTTTTTTTTTAAAAAAGATGACGGGTAAGGGGATCTTAACCCTTGACTTGGTGTTGTCAGTACCACGCTCACCCAGCGAGCTAACCGGCCATCCCTATATGGGATCCGAACCCGGGGCCTTGGTGTTATCAGCACCACACTCTCCCAAGTGAGCCACGGGCCGGCCCAGAACCAGTCTATTCTTAAGCTATCATGGCCTTGTTTTGACTCTACAAGGTATATAAATAACTTGAATCATGAAGAGAAGTAACCAGAAGTCAAAGAGCATGGTTGGGAGGGCAGGTCCCCTTAGCTAAGCAATGTGACATTTTAACCTCCCTGCTTTCATCTGGATTGCCGAGGTCCACCTCTGAGAAGGGTGCAGATATTTTAATAGTATTGTTACGCAACGCTATTTTCGATGTCCTAATAGACAGTGAACAAAGGCACAAAAAAAATGTTAAGTAACATGCCCAAAGATGCTGCTACTTAAGTGACAGAGCCCAGACTAATCTGACCTCAAAAACTCTGTTTTTTTCATTGTTCCATGTTGTCTCTTCCTAAAGCAAATGAAATCATCAAGTTATCTAGCTTTCAGATTCAAGCATGACATAACTGAAACTGCTTCAAGCAATCTAATCTGTTTAGACTGTGTTTAGGGTCTTTAATAAGCCAGCAGAAAGTTTGCAGTGCAAAGTGCTGGGATTCCAAGTTGGTCAGATCCAAAGGCCAGCTGGGTCCTGGCAGGGCAGCAGCCATGGCAAGACTCCAGAGTTTATGTGGGAAGGGAGCTGAGCAGGCTTCCTGAGTCTCAGTTGAACAGATAACTTTGACTATGATCCTAAGAATGAAAGAACATGAAAGGTAGCTCTTTCTTGGAAAAGGCTTGGGATCCCTTCTCTCCTACTTGAGCTGTGTAACTTGATTCAAACGTGTGTCTGGGTTTCAGTGGTTTCAGTCTCTCCTAACTTAAGTTTTAAAAGCTCATAATGGGAAATTGAAATGTTTATTTTCCCAAATGAAACAAATCTTTCTTCTATATATTCTAACCAAATAGTGTGATTTTAAAAAAATCTTTAATTTCTTAGAACTAATTAGAATTAGGTTTCACATAGTTGGCTTTTGCCAACAGTTTTGAGAAATGAAGAAGGGAAAAATTCTACAACAAATAAGTCACTGCTAATAATTAATGTAAAAAAATTTTTTCAAAAGTATTAATACTTCATTAAAATCTTTTTCCTTCCAGGAGATACTTTTGTCATCCTTTTTCAGTTATCCAGTATACATCAATTCTTTGTGTGTTTATGCATGATGAGCCTTAAAACTATTTTCTATTATTTTAGGCATTAAGACTGACTTGCCCATTACCAGGCTTTCCCAAAGGACTGAGTTTTGTTCATGCATAGAGGAGATTGTGCCACTAAATCATGTTTTAAAATTTCTAATAAGTATTGATTATTTGTTGTGGTTCAAACAAAAACTGAGTTATTATATATTAATATGTACTGTATTGTACATATATGTATTAGTCATCTTCCATTTCTATTTCTTTGCAAGAGCTACATTAGCTCTTTAAATTTCTAAGTTATTCAAAGCTTTATTAGCTTTTCAACTAATTTTAAAAAATTAGTGCTGCCTGAAAAGTAGATTAAAGTTTATTTTCTTTGTAATTTGAGTTTCAGCTATATAGTTGTACTGAGTGCTTTTCCCATCTCTTTCTCTGGTTTCTAATGTGTATAATTTTAGTCTTGGGTGTTTTTTTTATTTTTTATTTTTTTGGTTAAAGATAATGTACAATGGATATGCTAATTATCCTGATTCGATCATGGCACATTGTACACATGCACCCAGATATCACATTGTTTCCCATAAATATATACAATTATTATGTCAATTAAGAAAAAAATAAATTTAATAAAATGGAAAAAAAAAGATGATGTACACACATACACGTAATTTTTTTTTTTTACTATGCTAGCAGCTTTCACCCCTTTCTGTTCATACACTCATTTTAAGAGGACTTTGATGATTTTTTTTTTTGATATCTCAAACTAATTTGCTTTATGTGTTCCTATTTCAAGATCTGGCCTTCAGCTTCTTATAGAAATTTCTTTACTTTTTACTTTTATGCTATTACCCAGAATTGTTTAAATTTAAAAATTTGGGGGGAATCTTCATAATATTAGAAGCTATACAAAATAAAAATCAGCTGTATAGTATGTATACAATTTGTTTCGTTTAGGCAGTTATAAAAATGAGAAGAAGCTAATTACTTGTTTTAGTATCAAAAGAATGCCCTCAGATTCTTATAAAATTTTCTTGGGATAGTTAAACAATACCAGGAGAATTCCAACATTTATGCTGTCATTGCCCCTTCAGATTGAACTTTTAGTTCTATTTATATTTTTGTAGCACTCTAGTGTTTTAAATAGACATCTGACAAACACTCAAGGCATTACATTACTTATTCAAGAGAAATTGAAAATATACACAATAACATCAAGAGGTACGCTGAAATTTTCATTGTTTTCAGAACTGGGACTTGTAAATCAGGGAATGCCTTGATAGAGTGTATAAGTAAAAGAGGATCTCCATGCTAAATACAAATTTCTTAAACAGAGGAAGGCTTCTCTCCTCAGTTGCTTAGCAAGTGAGCCTAATTTCACTTTTTTAAAATATTACTGGCTTTATGACTATTAGAAGAATAATGAAATGAAAGGTTCTTTTTCTGTTAGATTTAGATGTGAATTTTCATAATTATTTTAAATTTGTCATGCTGAAAATTTAAAACATATGACCATTCAATGGGTTGATACAAATGGAATGTCACATTACCATCACATGGTAGTAAGGCATGAAATTTATTTATTTTACATAATCAACCTCTACTTAAAAGAACTTGATACAGATATTCCTTAGTCAATAGACGGCATTATATAGTACCTTGTATTTTCATTTTCTCTGTAGATATTAAAAAATACCATCATTGTTTGTCTCTGACTAGTACTTCCAGTAAACAAAATGTTTTTGAAAAGAATATAAGCAAACTGGAGAGCAGTTGCCAAGATATGAAATCTAGACATTTAGCTTCAGTCCAAAACATATTTTATCTGCTTTGAGAATAATTGTGTAGGTTGCAGCATGCATATTTTAAATGAAATGTAACCATCTGAACTCTACATTGTTCAAGAAAGTTGATTGCTTCAGCTATTTGTAGTAGAAAATATTTCAGAATTTCTAGCTCTGGTTGTTGTTTTTTTTTTTTAAATCATAAACTATAATATTCCTGTTTTCTTTAGTTAACTTACTATGTTCTTACATTGTAAAATACATCTTGATTATAGGATTTTAAAGTTACTAAATTCTTAGACTAAATTTTAAACTCCTTCAGTTCTAAAACTATAAAATAGTCTGAGATTGCCTTTTCATTCTAACCACCCACTGAGGTACTTTTTAAACATAAAAATATGTTGTTCTTTTCTCCCACTCAGTCTTGAAAAAGTATTCATCATATCAGCTAAATAATTTTACTCCCAGAAGATTACTACCCTTTTAGTTTTTTTCTATTACATCTTAACATTTAACAATATCTTTTTTCAAACAGATACTTCAATTTTAAAAGCACTGAGGTTTGAAGTTTAGACATGATGAGTTTCAGGAGAAACAACAAAAATTCTCCATTCTGCTTTAACATTCTGGGTTTATCTGGAGATAAAAAATGGAGCTATTAATTTTGGTAGCACAAATATATATTAATGTACAACTGTAGTCCTCAGCTCTTTATAAGGATTCAGCTGTCATGTATGCTGTACGTGGGTCATACCTTTCCTATTAATAATGTTAATGCTCTTACTTTACACTATTCATCACTGTTTTGAGGATACATTTCGACTGCTGAAAATGCTTACTTGAGATTTGTCTAGAATTTAAAGAAAAACAAACTGGCTTATTACTTTTCAAAGACTTTTTAATAATTTCTTCCATGATTTAAGTTTTTTTATACTGTACTAGAAGTATGGTAATTTTTCTTTTAAATAAAATCAGTAAAAAAATTTAAAACTATAGATTTGGACTCACCTAATAGCAATTATATGTTTAAGAGGTGTAAATAACTTGCCATCAGACATTACAAATATCCAGGTGCTCTGTATGTGCTGATGACAACAAAATTGAAAAGAAAGACTGTAATAATTCTGACTGGTTTTCTCTGCAGAAGATATTGATTATTTGTGTGTGGTGAGAGATTTGGAAAATTCAATTAAAGGAGTTGTGCAAAGGTTTCATAAATTTTCCTTCTACAGCGTGTACACAGACATTGTTGCGTATTAAATCAATGCAGCACTTCACAATATATTTTCTTTGAAACATAAAAATAAATAACATTTAAACAGTTCTGCTTACTACAGAAACAAATTTTATTTTCTGTGAAGCATTTAGTCATGTGCTATCACTGACTCATACACATTTGCCAGCTGTAACAAATTTTATAGACATCTTCCCCAGAGACATATCTCACATACTATGAATTTTTAAGTGAGCAAATGGTGAAGAAGGGATGTCAGCAATATAAAAATTGATCAGTTAAAAGATAAAAGAATAAGTAAAGAGATTTGTATGGTAGTCTTAATAGGTTTTATTAAATAAAAATACTATAAAAAGACAGTAATGAATAGACTGAAGACTAACTGTTCTTGAGGTGGAAAAAAATTATTCTGGCACATTTAATAGAAATTGGTTTTATATCACCTGACAGGTAAACATTTTTTTCCTTTTTAACTCTTAGTCCAAGAAGCCCAACAAGAAAGAGTTAGATAA